GGCAATGGCCGGGGGGCAGCCAGTCCAGCGGTCCTGCTAGCCGCTCCTTTGCTTGGAAACCCCGCTGAGCCCCTCAGCTTGGTGGCATCATGAGCGTCGGGAAGAAGAAGAGCGGCTTCCAGATCACCAGTGTCACCTCTGACTATGAGCAGAAGGAGGGTCCGCCCGGGGGGGGCGCCAAGGGGTCCTCTGCCAGGCCAGCCATGGTGGCAGCTGATGAGGCCAACCCCACAGAAGATGGCAATCCCCAGGCCAATGGTGGCATCAGGCCCAAAAACGGTCCCTCGGCTCCCAGCTCTCCGGGACTGGCGCCTTTGTTCCCAAGCTCCATCGGCGGCACATCCAGTTCTCGGTTTCGTGTTGTGAAACTAGACCAGGGCTTGGGAGAGCCGTACAAACGTGGGCGCTGGACTTGCCGGGACTTCTACGAGCAGGAGATCGACCACCACCTGGTGGGGCGGCTGGCCGATTCTGCACGGCACCCTCAGTCCCTGGATTCCCGGCTGGAGGTGGCAGGCCTCCTGGCAAAGCCGTCTCCCTTCAGCCCCCAGATGTCGCGCCGAGGGCCTTGCCTGCAGTCCCTGCTGGTGCTCCCAGTCCCCGGGGCCTCGGCCCATCAGGCCCGCTCCTTGGGGGGAGGCCTGCCTGTCCTCCGCCCCAGCAGGACTCCCCCCAGTCCGGCATCTCTCCGTAGCCCTCAAGTTACGGCTGAGACGCGACCCCTGGCTCTGGAGGAAGGCACCCAAGAGCCCGGAGACCCTCTCCCGCCTGGCACCATTCCCGTGGTGAGAGTGGAGGAGCACTTGCTGCCCAAGAGCGTCACCCAGCTCATCCAGAGGGAAACAGAAGAGCGGCACAAGGTGAGCCATGCGGGGTTTGTGAGGAGCAGAGACGGGTTCCTGGGTACCTGCTCCTCCCCTCCAATCTCCCCGAACCGGGCACCAGGAGAGGCCAGAATAGAGGGACCTTGGCTTGGAGAAGGTCCTCCTCCAGCAAGGTCCTCTGGGCGCTCTTTCAACCAGGCGGCTGCCTGAAACTCGGGCTTCCTTGTTCTCAGGCGTCAAAGATGCATGTCGACATCTGCCCTTTCTTCTGTTCTCATCCTCACAGGGCCCAGTGAGACAGGTCTTAACATTTCCCTTGTCCATGGGGAGGGACGGGCAGTGGGGTGGGGAACCCCTCTGAGCCGACAAGACAGAAGTCCTGGACCTGCTGTTGGTCCATGCCCTTTAAGGAACCTAGCAAACTGTGGCCCTCCAGGTGTTGCTGAAGATCCACCAGCCGCTCTGCCGAGGGGGAAGAGTGCTCAGAAATGGGGTCCGGTCCAGCAGAGTTTGGGGCTGCAGCTTCCCAGGGTGGCTTGCTTTCTCCAGTAGAAAATCTTCAGACGTACCTTAGGGGCCCAACTGCTTTGGGGGAAGGCGAGGAAAGACCTTGGCGGATGTGGGGGTGTGGGAAGTCCATTTGCCTGTTCTGGTGCACTTGACCCGGAACCATGCCCCATCTGAGATGGCCACCCAATTCTAGTGGCCCAGAAGGGTTGCGCACAGCCAAGGGCCCTTCAGATGTCTTAGCGGCTGAGCGAGAGCTTGGCAACTGGGACTGCCAAGGCCAGAGGGCAGGGGCACCAAGCACTGGGCAGGGGAGGTGTGGCCTGCCTTGCCCCG